GTGTAAGACATGAAATAATAATACTAATTTATAAATTATCAAGGGTCCAGGAAAGAGGGTGGGGAAGAGAGGAGCTGATACCAAGGGCTCAAGTAGAAAGAAAATGCTTTGAAAATGATGATGGCAACAAATGTACAAATGCACTTGACACAATGGATGGATGGATGGATGGATGGATGGTGATAAGAGTTGTACAAACCCTCAATAACGTGATTTAAAAAAATTTAAAAAGTAGAGTGGTACAGAGAGAGGAATGAGAGGGCAACAATCTTGTTGGAAGAATGGAAACTCATCAGTAGAGCTGGAAGGGAATGGGCAGTCCAGGGATCCGAAGAGTGGAGCGCAATCCTGAGGGGGCTTCGAAATTCTCTAGTCTTCATCCCCAAAACAACAAAGTACACGACAGGGCTTGAGTCTGAGGAGATCCCCAACGGGATCTGTATTTTAATGCATGCCAACAGGTAGAAAACAAAGTCAAAGGGTAAGACAGACTTATGTGGAGGAGGGGGGATGACTTACGTGATGGCAAGTGTCAGTCTGGAGGGAGAGAAAGGAGAATGTCTAGAAAGGAGGGAGAACAGGGGACCTGGTGACTAGGAGAATATGTGGAAATTGGAAAGGTGGGAGGAGGCGCTTAGGCTGAGGCCAGGTTTCTGCCCTGTGCTGTTAGTGTCTTTAACTGTGGCCTAGGACACAAGAAGAAAAGGCTGGTGAGTGTAGGATGAACAGGAATTCAGTTTCGTATATGCAGAGCCCAGCCTTGACAAATCCTGTGAACACATCTGGAGACTCACTACAGGTGCCTACACACATGGTTCCAGAGTGACAGGGAGGTCTCAGCTGAGGCATACAGTTGTGCAACTCCACATAGGTGGAACCTAAAAGCAATGAGGAAGGCAAGCTTGCATGGAAAAGTGAGTAGCACAGAAGAGAACTCTAAGAGCATTGCCATTTTAAATGATCTACAGGAAGGAACCAAAAGAGCACCGGGGAAGGGCTGGTTGGGAGACAAAAGTAGAACACTAGAGATGGGCACTAAAGCGGCCCAGGGAAACAAGACCCCTGACAGAGAGGCATAGGCCTGAGTTTCAACTAAGTTTCTATAACATGAGTAAAGTGCAAACAGTTTGGACGGACCCTTTTCGTACATGGTAGACACATGAAGTATGTGCAGTCATTAAGTGGATGGGTTATGGAATCGAGCAAATGAGCTCCAATCCAAGTTTTAATACTAACTAGTCAGTGCAATTCAAAGTAGCCGTTTTCTTGTCTGTAAACCTGGGTACAAAAATTATTGTGAGATTAAATAAGACAGTTAATGCATTTGAAGGCTCGCAACACTGGTGACCCAGTGGGAGAGTGGAGTCTTCATGGAGTCGTACCCACCTGAGAGGAAGGGGGATTTGTGCAGTGGCCATGGTTCTCATACTGGTCACAGGTAGCACTGATTCTGTGACCCACAACAGCAGTGACCCTGAGAGTAGAAGAGCTGAAGGGTCAATTAGCCACCAGGTTAGAGAAAAATGAGCAGGTTTCAGGACATAGAAAAGAGAAAAACAAGAAGACCAGAAGCGTGGTTTCCCAATGAGTTTAGGACAGTCATTCCCAATCATGGTTACCCATCAGAATCAGCCACTATGGAAAAAAGGCGTGGCACTCCTTCAAACGATTGAGAATAGAAATTCCACAGGATGCAGCAATGTTTCTACTTGGTACATGCCCTACAGGAATAAGGAACACAGCAGGAGTAGATATACACATATCCACTGACACACTAGTCACAAGAGGAAGAAGATGGAAACAACCTACATGCTGGTGAAGAATGAATAAACAGACTTTGTGACAAACGCACAACGGAAAACTACACATTGATAAAGAATAATGATGAAATTGTGAGACATCTCATGACATGGATGGAATTGGAGAACAAAGGGTAAATGTTAGAAGAGACTGCTGTTAATTAAAAAAAAAATTGTTTTAATACAATGGATTTCATAGCAAAAGTAGCATATGTGGCTGGTTACCAGGGATGGAAGGGGAAGGGAGAGAGCAACTGTTCTCTCTTCAGTACAGGGCTTGGTAAACTGCAGCTCTAGAGCCATATGGGGCTGTCAGTACATACATGTGGCTCTGAAGTAAAATAGAAGACTTTTAAAGGATATTGTTCAGATAATGATTTCATTTGTTTGTAAAACTATATTTATGTATATTTACATGAATAACAATGAGTACAAGGAAGAAGAAAGTGTTTTAGAACTGAATATAGTTGCAACGGTATAACACTTGATATGACTGAATTATTGAATTGTATGACATGTGGATCAAGTGCTAATGAAATTCTTAAAATATGTATTTATGGTCCTCAAATAGTTTTTAAATTGTTATAAGGAACCCTGTCCCAAAAGTTCACCTAAAACCCTAATACCTGCTTTATCACTAAAATGACCTGTTCTTAAATTGCTTGGAACAGTGAAAAGGCAGAGGGAGGCTCAACCAGCCAGATGGCCTAGATTGGACCAACTTGAAGTACCTGACCTCCCTTGGTACATTGTAGAGGAAGGCATCCAAAAGCTTAGAGAAATTGGTAAGTTGGAATGGATGTATCAGGATATTCCCATAGACCCAAAATGGGGGTGTCCTGAGGATATACCCTTTACCACAACCATAAGGAACAAGTTTGTGAAGTGGGCCCCAGCATCTCTTAAGACTCCTGTAATTGCAATTTTATGTGCACCAGGATTAACAGTGGGCACTGCCCTAAGCAAACTCTGACATTTGCCCACAATGGGGCTGATTGGTACCCATGATGGTAGAGGGCAGGTGTCAGCACTAAATCAACAGACAGGGTGGGCGTGGTTATAATAGACAACAAAGTTTCAGTAGTAATCAAAGCAACCTATCTCGTGTGGAATTATGGCATTGGCTACTTAGCCATGGTGTCCCTAGGAATAAAATAGATGGGAAACCTACTAAATATTTATGTGATCTATACAGGCAGAAGAATGGTAGATCAAGAATGGTAGATCAGGTGAATAGCAGAACAGACAGTCACAATCGCTCAATCAATTACCAGACCTGAGCCAGTTTAAAGACCTACAACCTCTTGAATGAGGGGGAGGCTGGGTCCCTTTGAAGGAGGACCCTGCTACATCAGCGAAGGTCTATACTGTTAGTCTTTCTTCTAGCCTTCCCCAGAGGGACCTGCGGCCTTTCACAAGAGTAACTGTTCATTGGGGGAAAGGAAATAATCAAACTTTTCGGGGATTACTGGACACTGGCTCGGAACTGACATTAGTTTCAGGAGACCCAAAGTGTTTCGAAGGCCCACCAGTCAGAGTGGGGGCTTATGGAGGTCAAGTTATCAATGGAGTTTTAACTCTGGTACGCCTCACTGTGGGTCCAGTTGGACCCCAGACCCATCCTGTGGTTATTTCCCCAGTTCCAGAATGCATCATTGGAATAGACATACTTAGTAACTGGCAGAACCCCCATATTGGATCCCTGAAATGTGGAATAAGGGCTATAATGGTAGGAAAGGCCAAGTGGACACCATTAAAACTGCCATTGCCTAGGAAAATAGTAAACTAAAAGCAATACCGCATTCCTGGAGGGATTGCAGAGATCAGTGCCACCATCAAAGACTTGAAGGACTGCTAGTGTCTCACAACTCTCTCGCACGGGAGTGAGTTGCACTGAACCATTTGTACTGCTTTATAATTTAACTGTTCATTTCTTGTATTACATATCTACCTGTATATAATTTAACAGTTCATTTCTTGTGTTATATATCTAATTATCTTTATAAATAAATATATTAAATTATCAGCAATTTGGTTTTATCTCTCTAGAGAACCCTGTCTAACACACC